TTCTCTTCTATTTTATGGATGAGTTCATCCCATTCACAGTTATGATTGCCAGCTGTATACTTCCTTCCATCCCATTTTCTTATAATTAGCCTTTTCTTTTTCACCCTGACCCCTCCTCAAGAGTCTGTTTATCTTCTGACGACTGATTCCCATAATCTAGTTCTCCTGTTTTCTTCTTCCTCTTTTCCTGTTAGCCCCTTTCCTCCCTACTTCCCTGTTGTGTAAAATGAATTTCTGTACCCAGCTGTTTGTGTATGTATATTCTTCCCTTCTTGAACTAATTATGATGAGAATGAAGCTCAAGTTTGACCAATTCTAATCTGTAAAGAGTTATTTTCTTCAGTGAGGTTTTTATACCTTTTTTCCCTAACCATTTGGGCAATTCTGATTTTTATGGAGTTATTTTCTAGTATTTTTGTGCCTCTTTTGCTAAGCTGTTATTTCTCTTTTCATAATTTTCTTACACAGCTCTCATTTCTTTTCCTAATTTTTCTTCCACTACTTTTATTTGGTTTTTAAAATCTTTTTTTTTCTTAAAAAAACACCTTTCTTTAACTCATAAGGATTCTTATTGGTCTTTTTATTGTTTTTTTAGGGGGGTCCAATCTTCATTTTATTTTGAGGTTTTGCTCATAGATGTTTACATGTCATTGTCTTCTGAGTTTCTTGAGCTTCGCTGTCACCATAGTAGTTTTTTATGGTCAGATTCTTCTTTTTTTTTTTTTTCTGTTCGCTCATCATTCAAGACCATTTTTTGATTTTGGACCTTCATGTTAGAGTTGGGCTCTGCTCACTTGTGCTTTCACAGCTCAGCCTCAGGGCCTGTAAATTCTCAACAGTCCAGTGTGGTGTGATCTGGAAAGAGGTTTGTTCATTGTCCTCCTTCTTGACCACAACTATTCCTGTCCTCCCTGGTACTAGATAACAGAGCTGGGCAACAGAGATGCTAGATGGCACCCATTCCTGCTTCCAGAGCTAGTACAGGCATTCCCTGGGATCTTTTTCTGCCTCCTTATTGTCCCTGAGCACTGGGCTACTCCCCATTCCTGTTGTGTTGTGCTGTCCCTTACCCTCAATGTCTGCAGACCTCTCTGGTGATCTTCCTAAGCTACCCTAGCTAGAAAAATGATTCACTGTTACTTTTTCTTGGCTTTTCTGCTCAGAATTCAGTTTGGTACATTTTCTAGGTCATTATGAAAGACATTTTGGGGGACCTGAGGCAATGTTGCTGACCTACTCTGCCATCTTGACAATTTTTATAAAGACTTATATTGGTCCAAGACAAATCAGGGTATAGTACAGCATGATGGCCTAGGAAATCTTTCCGCCCTTTTGTCCTAGAGCCAGAAACAATCCAAAGGACAGGTTCCAAACAAACGTTTTATTAAAAAGAATGATTTTTTTTTCATTTAAAAATAAAACTGAATTTTAAAAAGAATGGTTTTCTCTTATATCACATTCCACAATACATTCTAAATAGATATGCAATCTTAATATTAAAGACTTTACTATTAAAAAAAATTAGAAGAGAAACAGATCATCTATTTCTCACAACTATGGATAGGAGATGTATTCCTAACCAAACAAGAGATACTTACAAAAGATAAAACTGATTGATTACTTGAAACTGAAAAGCTTCTGCACAGACAATATTAATGCAGCTACAATAAGAAGGGAAGTGGTCAAATAGGAAAAATACTTTGCATCAATTTCTCGGATAAGGGTTTGGTATCCGAGATATATAAACAATTAGTAAATATATATGACTATTAGCCATTCCCCAATAGATAAATGGTCAAAGAATGTGAACAGTTCTCAAAAGAATTGCAAAGTATTCACAACCACATGAAAAAATGTGCCAAATCAATAATAATGAAAGAAATGCAGATCAAAACAACTCTGAGGCTTCACCTCACACATTATAAATTGGCAAAAATGTCCAGAAATGCCAATGGTTAATGTTAAAGAGGTAATGGAAAGATTGACAACATTAATAAGTTGCTGATAGAGCTGTGAAAAGTATAGCTCTTTTGGAAAGCAATTTGGAATTATGTAAATGAAATACCTAAAATGCTCATACACTTTGAACCAGAGACTCCATTACTGGGTTTATGCCCCAATGAGGCCATTGATAAGAAAAAAGTCCCCATATACAAGCAATTCTCCCTTAAGTAAAGAATTCTGAAAGAAATCCACATTTTCCAAAAATACCTATGTTAACTTTATTGTATATATGGTACTGTGCTCTCTCTCTCCATCCCACCTGTCTCTCAATTCTGCATTCTACAGTCCCCCATCCTCACCAGAAAAAAAAAAATCCTTCAAGTAAAAGCACAAGAGCAGAGAGAACACCACCATTAGTGCAGCTGGCCAGAGAGGAAAGCTTTGCCCTGCTACTGGTGGGGTTACTCCATCTGTCCCATCCTGTGTTGCCCGGTCCAGGTCCTTGTTGTTGTCCTCTCCTGTCTGTGTCCATGTGTGGGCCCCAGTATCTGTCCCCATCTGTTATTCTTCTTGCTCTCACTTCTTTTGAACCCTGTGGGGCCCCCTTTTCCTGCCTTTCTCCCTTTTCCACATGAAGATGGGGGAAATGCGTTTTATGTAAAAATTGTCACTTACCTAAAGTGAGAACTGTCTGTACTCCAAAATATTTATAGCAATACTTTTTATGATAACTAAGAACCGAAGTCAAAGTGGATGCCCATCGATCAGAGAATGGCCAAACACATTGTGGTACGTGAATGTAATGCACTATTACTGTGCCATAAAAAATTATGCATATGATGAATACATAGAAGCATGGAAAGATCTATATGAAACGATGCAGAGTGTAGTAAGCAGAGCCAAGGAAACAGCATACACATTAGCTACTACAATGTAAACTGAAAGAACAATGACATACTGGAAAATCAAAGGTAAATGTAAAGGTAAAACAAAACTATAAAGATCAAATGGGACTCAGATGAAGAGATCTGAGTAGACACCTCCAAACTATCCCTTCCAGGAGGTGGGAGGTTTACACATTGCACATGTTTTCAGACTTTTTGAATATATCTATCAGTTTTGCTGGGACAGCTAGGTATCACAGTGCCAGGCCTGGAATCAGGAAGACTCATTTTCCTGAGTTCAAACATGGCCTCAGAAATTCAGTAAAGCAGTGTGACCCTGGCCAAGTCGCTTAACCCTATTTACCTCAGTTTCCTCATCTGTAAAATGAGTTAGAGAAGGAAATGGCAAACCACTCCAGCATCTTTGACAAGAAAACCCCAAATTGGATCATGAAGAATCAGACATGACTGAACAACAGTTTTGCTGACTTTTTTTCCTCTCTTAAAAAATACTATTTATCACATGGGATGACTCTCAGGGAGGAGTATTGGATGGGATATGTGGAATATCATTAATATGAGAAATAGGAAAAAAATAAAAACTCATTTTTTATAAAAAGAATGATTTTCTCCTGAAACAAAACTCTGTAATTATAATAACCAAGCTTAACCTGTAGAAGAGACTGGAAAATTCCCCTTCCTCCCTTCTTTGCAGAGGCGGAAAACCCCCTGTCATGAAACACTGTGTATGATAACATCAGACTTTTTTCATATGTTGTTTAGTTTTGCTGAACTTCTTTTCCCCATTCTTATTATAAGGGATGGCTCTCTGGGAGGTGCATGTTGGGAGTGGGGAGAGATGTACAAAGATATAGTTGTAAAGGTAGATAGTGCAAAAAACAAACGATAAAAATTTTTTAAAAATTTAAAAAGCAAACAAAATGCACACTCCTTACAATTCTGGGAGGTAGATTCTAATGGGACTATTGTCCCCACTTTATAGGTAAAAAAAATGAGGCTCAAGGCCAAGTAACTTATTTAGGGTCAGGGAAGTTTCAGCTCAGCTCCCTTCCCCAGATGCTTCCTCGAAATCTACACAGTACACCTCTATAAGATTCAGTTTCCTTATCTGTAAAAAGAGGGACTGGGGAGGGTTGGACTAGACAGAATGATTTCTAAGGTCCCTCCCAGCTGCCAGCCCTATAAAACTAAAACTATTTGGAAGCTCTAAATGATGTTTTATTCTGAAGAGAAAAACAGACTATCCAACTTGAAATGTCAACAAACACGAACCGGGCACACCCAGCCCTGTCAAAACGCCTACCATGAGGAACACAATTATAAAATAATCGTCTTTGGTTTCACACCGTCTCCTTCTTCTCCCTCCACACACATACAAACTTTTTTTTTTGAGGAAGTTGCAATACTTCAAAAAGAACCATTCCTACTAGCTGTGTAACCCTGGGCAAGTCACTTAACCCCAATTGCCCACAAAAAAAAAAAAAAGAACCGTTCCTTTGAAAATGAAATCACATATGCACATCCCTACCTCACTACCATTCACTTGCTAGTTAGGATATCACCTTCCCCTGATGTCACGGTGGTCTTGGAGAATGAAGGACAAACAACAATCACATAAACACCTTCTCTCACCCCCTACTATTTAAAGTGAGAAAACAGAAACTGCCCGGCTTCCCAGATTTCTGTGTGCTAGCCGCTAATTTCACTGTTACGCAAATTAAAGTTCCGGATCGGCCTAAACTTAGAATTGCAGCCGAGGTTTCAGTGGGGCTAAAAGGAATACAAAGACCAGGACAGGAAATAAAGTTCCTCCTCTCGGGACGAGAAATCCTCAGGACCTCCCAAGCGTAGGACGCCATGTCTCGTTTCTGTCTTTGTCTCTGCTCCCTTCCAGATCCAGCCAGCAGCTAGTCTGGGACTCCTGCCAGAAAGAGGCCCGGCAAAATAATGATTTAAACGCGCGCACACACACACACACACATACGCACACACGCACAACAACCCACCTATGAGTCAGATGAGATCCATCTGTTAACAGCTCTCCTCCTCCCTACACCCTTTTAAAGGGCAGACAAGAAGGAGACGGGTTCACATTAAGGAAAAGGAAATTGAAGAAAAAGGGAAAGAGTGATAGGATGATAAGTAACTCACCACCAAAACTGCGGCTCCGGAGCTCCAGAATCCTAAAGTGAAAGTGAGGTTCTGGCCAGTGCGCTATCTGGCGGACAGTGAACCCAAGAGGGTGTCTACGCGCCCGCTCCTCAGAACTTGGACTGCAACTTAGAGCAAAGATTTTACAGAGTTTGCCGGCTTACGAGCCTTCCAGGATCCCAGACTTAGTACTGGGGTAAGAGCGCCTGTTCCAGATGGCCAAAGACTGGAAGGGCACGTCCAACTCAAGGCTTGCCGACTCAATGACGGATCTGGGGTTTTGTCCACGCCCAGCAGTAGTTTTCCCTTTGTTGGCGTCCATGTTCGGGGGTCTCTTGTGATTAGAAGGCTTTAGTAGATAGTGTAGCTTGTTCAAAGTTATAAGGATCGGGGGAAATTTACTCGATGTTAACAGAAAAGATATCAATAAAAATTATTAAAAAAAAAAAGTCATAGGGATTTCGAGCCGGAAGAGTCTTTAGAGGTTTAACATACCTCTGTGTTGCTTACTCCCCGTGTGACCTTGGGTAGGTGACTGGGCCTCAGTTTCCTCATCTGTAAAAGGAAGAGATTGAACTCGGTGGTCTCTGAGTTTCTTTCCAGTTCTAAATCTGGGATCCTGTGAACATACCAGCTTATAAATTTTCGTTAATTTTATAGAGGAATAACACCAAGCCCTACCTGTTGTAAGTTCTGCTAGTAATCATGAAGCATAGATACCTTTATCTTTCAGGCATGAGGCATGTTTACTTGCTCTTCCCTACATTCCAGTTAAAGAGAAAAGGGTAGGCTCTAGGACAGGGGAAAGGGGGAGGGGGAAGGTTGACAGTGGAATCACAGGACTTTTGTTCAAATCCGACTCTGACCTCTGACTAATAGGTGAGTCACTTAACTCTGTAAAATGAGGGGTAAGACTAGACAATTTCTGCGGTCCCTTCCTCCTCTAAATCTACGATCAATGAGCAAAGCCCGCAGAGCTGTCTTATTATTAATCTCCATTTTAATACCCCACCCACTCTCACCTTTGTGCACAAGTGAAAAGTTTAGCTTCAAGCTGGGATCTAATGGAAAGTTGGGGGACCTTTTGCCGTGAAAGGTCAAATTTGTTTTTCCATTTTGAACCTTTTTTTTTTCCTCTTCAAGTTGATCAAAATGGGCTCTCTCTCTCTCTCTCTCTCTCTCTCTCTCTGGCAGTGTTAAAGCTATTTTGTGTTGAGCCACAACAATGTATATATTATGGGAATGTGGACCTGCTTGTCATCTTTATTTGAAGTCTCAGATGAATTGGTTTCCAATACTACTTCTCCAGCTTGTTTGACTTTGGGCAAGTCACTTCACTTCTCTGGGCTTTCCTTTCCTCATTTATAAAATGTCAGGACTAGATTAGATGTCCTCCGAAATCCTTTCCAGTTCTAAATCTATGATCCAAGACTTAGGTTGGACTCTTTCCTACCTCAGATCCTTAGTAACTGTGTAATCCTGGGCAAGTCACTTAATGGCAATGAGCCTTTGTATGCTCACCTGAAAAAATGAGGATAATAACACCAGAAGTTATGAGGAGGTTCCAATGAGCAACATAGACAAAATACTAAATAAATTCCTGCTGTTAGAAGGAGCCTATGATCCTACCCTGAAATCACTAGTTTTAATAATTCAAAACCCGTATCGATTCTTCTTACATTTGCCAAAATGTTTGCCAAAATTTAACACATACTCCCTCTCCCCAAATGTCATTATTAAAGTAGAAGTGTGACTAAATCAAAGGGAGACAACATTTTGGGGAAATGTGCTCATGAGTGTACTAGGAAGGCTGTGCAGTGTTAAAATAGGATATTACTTCATTTAACCAACAATTTGACTTCTTCCTTAATTAGGAAAAGGTCATAGGAAACAAACGCTATGTAAGTGTTAATTATTATTATTATATAGCTCAAATAACTCATTTATAAGTTTTCATAGATGTGAGTAAAAAGGTTTCCAGATCCCATAGGAACATAGCCTTTATTCCACCTTACAGGACATGCAAAACAACAAAAAGAATTCGTAATATCTGTAAATTGTTGACTTGTTTCCTCTTTTTTTTTTTTGCCCGATGAGTCCCCAATGCAGTCCTCTAGACTCCTGACATCAGCTTGTGGTTTGGACTGCCTCCTAGAGGAGAAATGAACTTGGAGTAGCCAAAGACTCAAGTCTCTAAGGATTTAGACTTTCTGGAAAGGATAAGCGTCATCCTTCCCATTGAACCTGCACTGGCTCCATAACTAAATAATAGCTAGCATTTATATAATGCTTTGAGGTTTGCAAAAGTGCATTAGAAATATAACCTTACTTTATCCCCATACCAACACTGAGAGGTAGGTGCTATTATTTCCATTTTACAGATAAGAAGACTATGTCTCAAAGAAGTTAAGTGCCTTGTCCAGAGTCATGAATTCATGTCTGAGGGCAGATTTTTAACTCCAGTCTTCCTGACTCATGATAGCAAAGACTGAAGTCCAAGTCTTTTTGCTCCTCCATATAATAGCTTTGGGCAGCTAGATGGCGCAGTGGATAGAGTGCCGTGCCTAGAGTCAGAAAGATTCATTTTCCTGAGTTCAAATGTGACCAAGTCACTTAACCTTGTTTGCCTCAGTTTCTTCACCTGTATAATGAATTGGAGAAGGAAATGGCAAATCATTCCAGTATCTTTGACAAGAAAACCCCAAATGGGGTCATGAAGATTTGGACACAATGATTGAACAATAACGTAATAGTTTTACTCCTTTGCTGTAAAGGGTTCCACATGTACAATCCTCTTCTTTTCAAGAGTGTGGTGCTGGTCAGGAACTCCACTCACTAGAAGGGAGGATCCTGGAATTCTCAAACTTGGTTTTGCTAGAGAGGCAATACACATAGTTGCATGCAACCATGCATGTGACTATCGTATGGAAAATGTCCTCACCTATGTCATGTAAGGGACAGAGATAAAGAGTTTGAATGACAGAGTGGGACTTAGCAACCATCATGTCTCCCCTGTTCCCTTAATGCCTATGACTTAGATCTTTATTCCACCTTGTTAACTCATAGGAATGAGTGGTCATACCTTATATTTCACCTCCACAACCTTGAACTCTGAAATCCTCCTTTCTGACCATCATCTCCTGTTATTATGTGATCAAACTTTACACTGTCCTTCCCCCTTGAATTCACTGTCCCCTTGTCCTACCACTACTCATGCTTTGCTAAGCACCCCCATCCTCTGGATCATTCTCACCATCTTTTGTTTGAGTCAACTACAAATTTATGCTATCTAATATAAACTGGGCCTTCCCAATTGCACTGCAACCCTTGTAATATTCCTTAATAGACTAACAGGCTCTCTTCTTTACCATGGTTGTCACAGACTTTCCCTCCTTTCTCCAACCTCCCTATGCTACCCTACATTCATGCTCTTAGTAGATGACCTTTCTTCTTACTATCCTGAGAAAATGGAGGCCATCTTGTGTGAGTTCCCAAATATCCCATTTCATAAATCAAAACCCCTTTACACCTTTGCCTGTCTTCTCTTGCTTTACCCCAGCCTCTGAGAAAGAGGGGACTTTTTCTTTATCAAGGCCAACTCTTCTACGTATGCCTTTGAGAGAACACAAACTTCTTGAAGGCTTGGACTATCTTTTGCTTCTTTTTGTATCCTTGGTGCTTTAGCATAGTGCTAGCATGTAATGGTTACTTAATCAATGTTTACTGATTGATTGGTTGAATGACAGACGTCAAAGCAACTGCAACATCTGTAGTCCTAGAGACAGAAATATCAGCATAAATGAAAATAACAAAACTGCATATGCAACAAGAGACTGTGAACCCCAAATCTCATGAGCTCCATGAACTCCAATTTGAAACAGAGACAAATGAAATTGAGGTACATGTGTCCATGGTTTAATTTCTCTCAAGCTGGCTTGACATACATTGCATGGGAATTCAGTCCAAAACTGGGCCCCAATAAGGAGGCCACTTCAAAACTGGCTCGGTTTGGGATTTTGGGGTACAGCCTTATATGTCCTTCGAAGAGTAGGTGTTCCCAAGGGTGTCAATCAACTATGATTGGTCAACACACTAGGAGATGGCTTATATTAAAATGAGGTCCTCAGGGGCCAATATTGTCTACCATCAAAGGAAATGCCACCCCTAATCTTAGGAGTCTGTCTCCACCCAAACCTGAGTAGGATAAAATCAATTCAGGCCTGGATTGGAGTTTGACAGAGGTAAGAAGATTCAACACAATCTCATTATCAGAGATGTCCTACAGAACTTTGATCAGAAGGCTGGCTGGGGGGAAGCTCTAAGTCTCCAAGACACAGATTACCAAGAGAAATCACATTTAACAAGATAAACATATCTACAGTTATATGCATAGCATGAACACTGAAGAAAATAAACATTGAAAGGAAAACAATGAAGTAAAAGTATGTTTAAAATATGCAGTAATTAACATGTAAGTCAATGAGTATATGTGCAATTACATGTATTAATACTGTACTCTTGTCTCTTAGGTATAAATGTACCAGAAACATTTTAAATTTGATTTAACATTATTCTGAATCCAAACATTTTAACCTAGAGAAAGAGAAACCTTTGAATTGTAAGAGTAGTCCTTTCCCCATACCGTTTGACATCTCTCTATCCCAAGACTATTTGAGGCAATATTTATAGGAATCTTGTACAAGGAAAATGTTATAATATGTTAAAACAGAGCATTGGCCCTGAAGTCAGGAGTACCTGAGTTCAAATCCAGCCTCAGACACTTACTAGCTGTGTGACCCTAGGCAAGTCACTTAGCCCACATTGCCTAAAAATAAATAAAATAAAATAAAATAATATGTTAACATACAGTTTAGGATTAACATCGTACTTCAGCAAATAGAACAAGTCACTTCATAGCTATCCAGTTCCTTCCTTGACTGCCCTCTCCAAGGATATCTTCCCTTAGATCAATATCATCAATATTTCAATCTTTTCTGCATAAAAGAAGAAAATACTTCCCTTTTAATGAAAAAAGGGTACTTCTTTAGGTGTCTTCTCATATCCCAATAGGGGTAGCTAGGTGGTGCAGTGGATAGAGTGTCAGGACTGGAGTCAAGAAGACCTAAGTTCAAATGTGGCCTCAGACGCTTACTAGCTGTGTGACCCTGGCCAAGTCACTTAACTTTGTTTGCCTCAGTTTCCTCATCTGTAAAATGAGCTGGAGAAGGAAACGGCAAACCACTCCAGTATTTTTGCCAAGAAAACACCAAATGGGGTCATGAAGAGTCGAACATGACTGAAACAACTGAACAACAACAAACAACATAGCCCAATGACTTTGGGGATGGGGAAGGCAAGGATCTTACAAGACCAAAGGCACTTTTTGTTCAGGATTTTATTCCCACTCCTATTCATTAGGTCAGTAACTGTTTTTAAATTTTTTCATATCTTACTCACTTCACATAGTGCCTGGCACATGTTAAGTCCTTAATAAATATTTGTTGAGTTGATCTAACTTGACTCTCCAAAAAAGCCCTTTTGTTCTACTCACTTTCCTAAACAGAAAAGTCTGAAAGGGGTTTTTCAGCCAGAGAAAATATTATTTCTGAATATTTTCACTTGAATTAAAATGGGTTTTTTTAATATGCTACAGCAATGACAAGGCCAGACTTCTAACCACTTTAAGTTGTGCTGCCTTTCTGGTCCAGTGATAATAACACATAAAGAAATAGATAATTATTATTATATTAGAACTGCAGTTAACTGGATTACACAGTGCAGAAACAAACATCTATATGTTAAGGAATATTTTTAGTGAAATATAAATATTGTCAAATAGGTGAATTATGATTCACTTTCATGATGAGAATAGTTCTAT